GTCGCGAGTTCGACGCTCGGGTAGGATACCACTTGAGTCTGGGTATGACTGGTTGACGATGGCGAATGAGTCAGAAATGGTCATTACAATCTCCTTAGTCTTTCCCGGCAATACTATCTGTCAACTTCTGAAATCTGTTTTCGATTCGAACAAACGAATTAAGTAGTGTTATAATACTGATTATCATACAGTCCAATCTCGAGACATTTTAGTCGCGTCAGGTTGCCGGCTTTTGAACGAGCATATATCTGATAGCCTTTAAAAAATATACTCTGCGGGAAATTGGCTACTTAAGTAGTGTGTATTTATTCCGTGATTTCTGGTATCCTTTTAAATTCAAATATCTTTTATGGAAAATCCGGGGAAGTTATAATAAACTAGGCAAATATAGCTGTTTCGGAGTCATCGCCGATCGTCAGTATGCCATTGGTCTTATTTAACCTTCTGACGTGACGTATCTAAGCTCGGCAAGAAGCATTTGATCCCAAATTTCTGTGATTGGCATAATGTTCGATATTCCAGCAGCGGAGCTGATAGGCAGATAGTTCGGGCTTATAAGCACAACAGGTGAATGTCGCGTGCCAGCTCCTTTAAAAATTTGTAAAACCTCTCGAGCCTAGAGCGTCTTCCTCTTTTAAACTAGGATATTAGGATTCAATGTCCTCAGAACTTTGTCCGTCGGAAGTTTCGGATTCATACTGAAATACATCCTCAGAGCCCGCAACAGATGACGGCTGTGTACCCATTCTCGGTGCGGTAGTTGAGGCGTAGAGTCGACATGCAGCTACATGGCTGTCGAGGTTAGCAGCCCTCTAATTTGTCGTGAATGTTCAAATTTGGTACGAGGTTTGCTTTTCTATTTACCGGCAACATAACGACGTCAGAGAAACCGAGAGACTACTATGGACGCGGATGACCGAACGCATAGCAGCGATGAGCGGTCAGGAAACAACACTGAATCCGTGTCTTATTCGAGGGGGTCCCGTCACATACCTGAGTTCGACCAGGCTGGGAGTCTCCCGAGAGTTAATAACTGTATTCAACTCAAGAGCTGCTCAAGTCACGCTTCTCTAGTCGGCAGTCCAGCATCAAGTGGGATGTCCCATCTCGTCTATATTCAGTGCTAAGGCTTTTTTTAGTCCTCATGAGGTAATCTTAACATTAAAAACTAATTGAGAAGAAGAC